AGGCACTTGTTTCTAGTAGCTTCTTGTTTCTACTAGTAAGGCACTTGTTTCTAGTAGCGTGGCACTTGTTTCTAGTAGAAAGAAGCAGATGGTGGACGACACCACGAATCCGTGCAAGATCGGACTGTAGGGTCGATGGATCTTCTCGGATTTGGGGGGGGAAGGGATCAAGATGGATCAAGTGAGCCTGGCAACTGCTGAAGCCTTCAGTCGCCTCAGTCCCAGTTGAGACTTTGATGGGCTCCAGTGGAAAACGCTAGTTCGATCACGCCAGATCCCGCCAGCTCTGGGGTGGTCCGAACTCGCAGACTCTCCAGAACGTTCGTTTGGACATGGTGACGGGGTCATAGCACCCGTGAGGGCGTAGCTTTTTGAGCTGGCGGATGAGTCGATTCTGTTCTTATCCGGTGGAGGGAACAAACTCCCCGAATGCCATGCCCCAGGGTGCCATGTTCGTCGACTCAAGTCCATTTGATCCACACTGGCCATTTGGGAGACATGATCCACCACTACCGGGGTGACCGTTCCATCTTGGGGGCCTTCAGGAGGGTTTGGGTCTTTGAGATTGGTCCACGTGATCATCCGGAAATTAAACAATCCGGGTGGGATGACCCCGGAGTCGTTTGCGGCGATTTTTTCGGGGTCGCCGCATGGCGCATGGTGCATGCATGCCCAACAGAGGTTAAGTGACCGTAATGGGACCCTACAGGGGTACCTATAGGATAGTCTATATAGATGGGTACTACCTTAGGAAATGAATGGAGGGGTGGAGTCACTGTATGGATTAATCAAGGGTGGTGAGACATTGAGCTGGTCTAAGGTAGTGGTCTATGGAGGTGGTACGGGTTCTTCAACCTCTGCTGGTGCATTATGCACAACTCCCAGCTCGATCGACCGGACATCGACGACCGCGGTCGACTGTCACCGAGTTTGGTGGAGGGGGGACTCCAACGAACGATACAGATGGATACAGATTCTGCTGGCCCCCATGGAGCTCAGCTCCCAGCAAACCTCTTACTCTTCCACCCCCCGTATCGCCCGCCCCCCCTCCAACCTCTACGTCCAAAGCGCAGACATCGTGGGCTCGTCCCGCCCACCGTTCGCGCGCGTTGCCCGCGCCACGTGGCAGGCTGAAGTTGTTGGTGGCGACCGACGTGGCGGCCCGTGGGCTGGACATCAAGGGTGTTCCTTGGCGTGAACGAATGCAATAGACAATAGACTGCAGTACAATAGACATCAATAGACAGTGAATTGTATATTGTTGAACAATGAAAATCAGGTGTATGTGGACGATTTATCAGGTGTATGTACACGGTGTATCAGTGTGTCATCCCTTGATATTCCTCTCCAAGAGGCCCAGTTGGAAACTCAGAAACGGTGGATATCTGGCGAAGGCCTTGACATCTTCCCGAGCAATATCTTGATGGTGGACATTTACTTTCGGGAAATTGGAGTGTTTCAAGTTTCATGTGCACACGGTGAATATATGCTAGCATGGAATCAGTTTTATTTTGTTGGGCTTCTAGAGCAGCGGTTTCGGTTGATATGGCTAGTTGGGGGCATTCACAATGCATTCACATTCAATTGTCAGACGTGAATTTCTTGCTGAACGACAGTCTAATTAGCCCGGAACACTGCCGTTTGGGCCGGTGCAACAAGAAAGCCCTACCTTTCAAATACCACAGGCGGGGTGCGTGGTTTCCAGGAGCCAGAAGATCCGGCTTGGACTTTTGAGAGTACTTTTGAGTCACTATAAGTCCAGGTTTTGAAGCTGGACCCAGCCACTGAGGATGGCAGGTCTTGCAAGAATATTCTACTCAAAGGGCAAGAGTTGCAATGTCCAAAACGTTGCACGTGCCCATATGAAGCGGAAGTCACAAGGAGGGCCCACTGTTTTCTACAGTCCGGCTTTGCTCCGCGTTCCGAAACATCCGCCGTTCCGTCGGGCGGCCGCCGGGAGCCGGCTCCGGGACTCGAGGTGACGTTGGTGGTGAACTTCGACGCCCCGTCCAACACGGAAGACTATGTCCACCGGATCGGCCGAACGGCGCGGCCGAGCGGCGGCGGGTACCGGCGGGGGAGGTTCTGGGCCACGTCTGACGGTTCCGTGGCGAGTCTTCGGTCAGTGGGTGGGTGGGTTACAGGGTGGGTGGGTGGAGGTTGCTTAAGACACGGTGGAAGATGGGTCAAAAAAAGGTACCTGCTAATAATGAGGCAACATAATAGATAATAATAATAATAGCAAACTATACTCATCTCAAAACAGCCTGGAAGAGCGTTCCTATCGTAAACGAGAATCACCTGATGCGACTCTAGAGGTTCAACAAGACTCGCCACATGATCTCGGCAAAAAAAGGGCAGGTTCTTTGCCGAAGAGATGTCACCCCCAATGGCTCCAGTTGTAAGTACATCCACAGAAGGTATGACTGAAGCATCTTAAGGCTTAAGGCACCCACCCGTTCGTCCTACTTTCTCAGAAGCTTAGAGCCCTAGACCCAATCGTTTGTGAAGGATGTTGAACGTCCAGTCGCATTCCTCGTCCTTTTTTTTCCTCACCTCGCAGTGACATGGCCACTTGAAATGGTGTCTCAAGATCCAAATAAGAAAAACATGTACCAGGAGTCACAAAGGGGTGCCCAATGGAAGCCTATAGGTATTGTGGGGGTACTTCATTGGACACCCCTTGGAGGGTCCTGGTATGCCTTTTTTTTTCCGGACCAACCACATGAGAAGACCGGGAAAGTCATTCCCCTTGATCTGCCAGGGCCGTGCGGGGCAAAAGGGCCATGCGGTGACCCTCATCAACGATCGCGACGCTCATGCGCTTCGTGGCATTGTCGAGGTGGGACATAGAGTCTGTTCTTCCAACCAACGAGCTGACCATTCCCAGACGCGACGGGTTGCTGACTGGCAGATATGCCGATCGGTTGGGGTGTTTGCGGGGTTCAATGTAGGCATATATTCCATACATGGAGTGTATTGGGATTCTTCCTGTTCTTGTTCTAGTAATCATTGTCTAATAGACCATTATGCCTAGCTGAGACGTCTAATAAAAGTTCTTAACGTCTTTTTCCTTGTTCCTTTTCCTTTTTTCTTTGTTTCTAATACCAAGGGCCTCCAACCTAATAGCTTCTTATTAATATCTTAGACCATTCTACTAGTAACAAGTGCATCGCTAACTAGTAGCTGGAAGCCACTATATAATAACTTTGTGTCGACTAGCGATGGCCTCCAACCTGCATGGCGCGTGGGCCCGGGCCGCCTCATGGGTGGGCCGAGCATCGTGGCCTGGCTGCCACTCGACGCGGTGGACGTGTTAGCAGCACGTGTCAAGAACGTCCTGAACATGAACAGCAGTTAGTTTGAACCTTCCAAAGGTCGAAAGCTGTGTAGCACGGATTGGGCGGATCGGCAGCTTCCCCAAGCTGCCACGCGTGGCCAGATCCGGTCCTACTGCGTGGCACCATGTCCAACGTCGTCAAAAGGTCAGACCAGTCGGGAAAAAGGCAGACCGGTCATAGAACGGAAACGAAGTAAGGGTGGTGTATGGACCCCCCTTTTCCTATCCCGAGGGAAGGGCCTCCTGGCACCTACAAGTAGTTCCCGGGCAAGCCGGCGGCGGAAGTTTCCTATAAGAAGAAATTGTCCAGTTCTCCACGATTGGTTCCGCCAGTTCTCCGCTTCCAGCTCGACAGATTGCTCCGCGTACTAACGTTGTACTACACAGTCGCCAGTTCTCATCGTCCAGCTCGCCAAATACTCCGTGTACTAAAGTTGTACTACGAAGTCGCCAGTTCTCAGCTTCCAGCTGCACAGATTGCTCCGCATAGTAAAGTTGCACTACAGAGTCGCCAGTTCTCAGCTTCCAGCTCCCCAGATGCATGGAGGTTCAGAAAGTGCTGCGCCTGCCACGAAATCTGCACATGGAGGTTCACAAAGTGCTGCGCCTGCCACGAAATCTGCACATGGAGGTTCACAAAGTGCTGTGCCTGC